ATCGACGACATAGTTCAGCACCTGAATTTGACTTAACCACGAAAATGGACCCGCAGGGCAACCATGTATAAATATTAGTGCGCATGCCCAACATTTCGTAGCTTATTTTTGCTTTGGCACCACAGCGCCACTTACAGGCCTGGCATACATTTTGCAGCGTTTTCATGCATTCGTGTGGACGCTCACATTTATTTTACGTCTCCGTCTTTACGGCAAACGTTTTGGAAAATATCAGCGTTTCGTGTTCGTTTTGACTTCGTGTGGACGGGGCCTAAGCATAAAGAAACTGCTTAAAGCCCCACTTTGTAAGATTTACTACCAGTTAGTGGTGCACTAATGAATTACAAATGACTAAATAGGCTTTGATGCTTCACTGTTAAACATAACAACTGCTACAGAAGCCATTGAGGGTCATAAATGTGACAATGTCAACATTCTGCACAGGTTTAAGTGTCCAGTCAGGTGAGGAGGTACAGAATCACACATAATTCAGTTTTTATTAGTGCTAATAAGTTCAAAGCTAAAAGATTTTCTCTTTTTCATTTTACTTTACATCGGCTGATTTATCAAGTGGTAAATGTCCTGTACTTATAAAGCTCTTTTTCAAGTCAGAGGACTTGACCAAAGTGCTTTACTCTACATTCAGTCATTCACCCATTTATGTACACACAGCTGCCCTGGGCTCACTGATAGAGGCAAGGCTGCTGTACATTGGTGCCACCGCCATCAGTAGGCAATGAAGTGAAATGTTTTGCCCAAGGACACAATGACATTGGAAGTCGGAACTTGAACTGACAACCCTCTGGTTGCAGGACAAAACCCTTCAGTCAACGCAACTTTATTACTTAATTTCCTTTCCTTGGTTACTTGATCTTTCTTCTTTCTGAGTAAACATTAGGAATGGCCAATTTTAACAGAAAACTGTTAGTAGAGGGATTCAGTCCTCTTTGCATTATTTATCCTCACTACAACATCTTTTCATATGCAGATGCAATATATAGGGCTAACAAGTTTGTTCCCTTTGGACTACTACAATAAACACTGGCAAAACATGGATTTCATTGGGTGCCCTGCCACCTATGTATTTATATATTACTCCTTAAAAGCTATGGGAATGATTTCAGTTGTTATGTGACTGTTATTAGACTTTGGAAGAATATATATTTATAAAAGCAATACTTGATTTTGCTAATAACAAGACAAATTAGACTTTAAAGGGATGCACGTCGTCCCTTTAAAGCTCATTAAAATGTCAAAATCACAATCGACAAACATCTTGAGAATTAAGGTCATATTACCCATAGAAAAATGAAACTATTCAGATAATTCTTCTTAAAGATTGTAACCATTCAATCTCAACTAACTGGTTTGCTTTCAGGACACAGTTGCTATGGAACAAGTCCAGTTGGAGCAAATGAAATCCCCCCTATTCCAGTTTCCAGGCAGGATTTGCAGAGAATGCACTGGCGTTAAGACAGTACATGTGTATTTCAAGGACATCTGTGTTTGATGCGACCAACTGTACACAGAAGGAGATATCAAAGTGGAAGACTTGGTTTTTGAGGTTAAAGAGCAAGTAGGGCATGTGATTGTGCAGCCGTGTGTACGTGCAAGCCTGCTTCTGTTTGGATTGTGCTTGTATTCAACTGAAGCAACAGCTTTCTGATGTAACATTAACCGTCTGCTTGCTTCTCTCCTGGTCCTCAGGCATCTACTTGATAACACAGAGCAAAGACAGGTCAATGTTTATAGTTTTAGCATTGTCATATCAAAAGCTTCTCCCAACATTACAGCTGCTCTCTACATAACAGTCTCTTTGCCCCACCCAGACTGGTCTGATTGGTCTGCTTTCTACAATACTTTCCCATTTCTGATTGGATTAAACAGGAATCAGAGCTTTGAAGAGAGGTTTTCAAAGCTTTATCTTTACTTGTGTATTTTAACAGACTTCTGAGTCTTCTACACCTAACAGCTGGATTAATACTGAGATTAAATTACAGACTAAAGGCGACTGGTTGCAGTGGATTTCATTTAGAGCTGTTAGATTTAGGGCCTGAATACAAATGTGTGCTACACTTGTCAGATTTTTATTTAATCTCTTTCAACAAATTACTTTAATTTTAGAAAAGTGTTCATTTCTTTGCATTTGTTTATTCTGTAAAATTAGAACAAATGTATTAAGGTTTGTGGCTGAAGTGGGCTAAAACAGAAAAGGTCATATTGCCATGTAAATGACCAGATTGTTAAGATTTTCAGTAGTCTTTTTGAAATCAACTTTAATTCAACTTTGAGTTAAATTAAAAATTCACATTTCAACAGATGCAGGTTTTAAAAGCAACAATAAATTCATTCATTCACTCCCTGAAAGCTTGCTAAATAATTCCTGCAGCATTTCAACCACAAGCAACTTAACCTATGTTTAAAATTAGGTTTGCTTCAAATGTGTTTTTTGTCTCTTCTATCATGCTTCATTATATTATTTTCATATATTTCAAAGTAAGAGTTTATTCAATAATAATAAACTAGTCATATCTGCATATTTTCCTTTTTGAATCCTCACAGGAGAAGCTAAATTCATAACAATAGGGCTCACTAATAGTTACAGGTGTTTCTTTTCAATCTCTCTTGTGGAGGATCTGCGAGGAGGGTGGGGGTACCTTTGGCTGCAGAACAAAAGAAAGCTGCAACTAATGCTTTTACTGCATTAAGACTTTTGTTGTTTGCAGCAGTCTCTTATGCCGGGGCAAAGCATCAAGTATCATGGTGCAGGAATATATATCAGTCCTAAACTAGGTCCTTTAAAATGCTGCAGGTATAGGAAAAAAGTCCAAAGTTAGCCATCTATCTGATTAAGTGATGGAGTAGGGGGCAGGGAGCTGTGACTTCTCACACAGATGAATGGTGGGACATGGTCTCCCAGCTGAACCACAGGGAAGGCACAGTTGGGGGGAAGGGTTGATGCAAAAGAATGCAGAGAGCTGACGGCCTCTGCTCCAGCTGTCCCGAGGTTTATTGATCAGTAACAGCGCTCACAGGAGGGGAAGATCACCAACATCTGCACTCCATAATCACATGTCTGCAGCAATCAAGCCAACACTAAATGACTTTATTGTTGCATTACATTTAAGTAACTGTTTGGTAAAGCAAACTTTAGGGAAAACCTGTTCATGAAGTTAAATTGCTAAACAGTGAATTGTATGAATGCAGATTCTCGTCTACAAGGAGGACGTCTGTGGTTTTCTGGATGGGTTTACATAAAACCTCAGCTTGACTATCAGACAGGTGTAGCTTGTTGTATCAACTATATCTGTGTCACAAACCTGCGACTGTCATTTGGGAAAAAGTAACACAAATATGTTTTCTGCTGCAGGTGCCTGCATAGTATACTGATCAAGATCTAGGTCTGTCCCAGATTAATTTAGGTCATTTCCACCAAAAATAAAGGTAATGAAATTAAATGTTTGTTATTTTTATTGTAATTATTCTTATTTGTATTATGAAATTAAATTGAAATCAATTTTTTTTATATAAGATTTGGGCTTGGTGGTGCAGCTTGTGGCAAAAACATTTTGGGCTTGATTCCCAAAAGCTCAAAAAAATGACTGTTAGATAAATTGGTGATTATAAATTGCCCTTAGGTCTGTACAATATGTCTTTGCCCTGTGACAGACTGATAATCTGTCTAGACTGCTGGAGATACAGTAGGCACCAGCCCAACAGTGACAAACAGCGGCAGCAGACAGTTCTGTGTTGGCTTCTAATAAAATCCCAATAAAGCAAAGGTTCAAGTTTGTAAAATGTGAAATAAGGGTTTGAATACTTTCTCTGAATCTTTGCATTCGGATACAAAATTCGTAATTACAGCATTTTTTTGTTTTTGTTTTGTTTTTTAAACAGTGTCCTCTCTGGCAATGTGGCAATAAGAATAATTATCTTGATGCCAAAAAGAGCCCAACAGATTTTACTTTCACAAGTGGAGCAGTACGACTATCGCCATAGCGTTCCGCTTGATTAATGCAAATAAATAGCTTTATTATAATTCATGCAGGGAGTATTGGAGATTATATGGACACTGCAATTTTTTTTTTTTTTTGTATATATATGTTTATTGGACACTGCAATTTAAAGAGAGCAAGAAAGTAAAAACAGAAAAAAAAATTTGAAAAGAAGAAAGAAAGAGGAGATAAAAGAGAGATAACGATAAGAAAAAAATAAACTTCAGTCTGCTTCATCACCTGCAAAGAGATGTAAAAAGAACAGAACAAAAAACAGACATGGTACAAGATATACAATAACGTAACACCTTGATACTAATGCTGAAATATAAGTAGTATTATTTAATGACAAGTATACTGTGGTAGCTGAAGGTAAGAATATGTGCTTTCTGTATGGAAGTGAATCTCTAAATACCTGGAACCAAGCACCTGTAGTTTGTTAATTACAGCATTTTAAAGTTTCAAGTCATTCCACAGTCATTTTATTTTGTTTTACAGAATGGTACCTATAGGCATGTGAATATATATATATATATATATATATATATATATATATATATATATATATATATATATATATATATATATATATATATATATATATATATATATATATATATATATATATATAAAACATTTGGAGTACGTATACACTCAAAAGTATCACAATAAGTGAGTTGCCTTCAATAGAAGTATAAACAATATAAACAAATGAAAGGTGGTTTAGACACAGTTCTGATGGCAATGCATTTATCTTGGCGGTAAAACGCAGGGCTGTCTGCAGTGCGTTTGCCTTCAGATGACAGCAGCAGAGCGGCAATCCTCTAACCACATGATTTTTGTAGTAAAGCGCGTAGCCGTCTTGCGCTCGGGGGAATTTCCCGTCCACGTGTCTGAATACACGACGGAGAATGAGGGCGGGATATAAACAAAAGCAGCCATTGGTCGAAGCCCCCCGCGTGCATATCCCCCTCCTTCTCCTCTAGAGGAGAGCTATTAAAGCGGACGTCAAATGGACTTGTAGCAGTTTTTCTCGCAGAATGGAAGTGAACGTGGAAGTAAAAGGGATTAAATTCGCTTAATCTTGGCAGGATATTGAACTCTTCTCGTTTATAAGCTCCATTACTCTGTGCTGGTGAGATAGTTGATAAAAAGAAGCCCGGCTCTGCGGTGAGTACATTAGAAAGAAGTAGAAACCCTGCATATTCCTTCAGCCAGCCGGTCATTACGCACGCTTAGGAAGACAAGAAAAAACAAACAAACCTCAGTCATTGTTAAGATAACGGCAGCTGATTTGTTTTGGTCTGAAATCGGTGCTTCTCTGTTTACAGCAGGGTTTTATTTAACGCGGACTGTCATAGTTTCAGTCAAACCCGCTGACCGGCTTTACGCGTCGGCCGGCGAATGCGCTCCAAGACGCAAAACATTTGAAGCGTGCAGTAGCGCATTTTCCACTTTCTGTACTCAACTTTAATCAATATATCCCTTTAATACGTTCAAAATATCATTTGAGACCTATTTCTTTATTTTAAATCATATAATAAAAAAATCTAATTTCATCCTGATAACAGTCAGATCCCGCTTTGTAACTAAACCAGCAGTTTCAGCTTGTAGTTAACACTTTTAATAACACGATTTATTTTATTATTGTTTTTTTGTTTTTTTTTTAAGAAAAAGTTAAAACTGTTTTAATATGCATTTTTCTTGTAACAGCAAAGTTTATTTATTTATTTATTTACAGTATCGGTCTTACTGTGTACATTGTTACGTAAATGTGAGGCAGGGTTATGTGAGGCTGTGTTGTGTATAAACTCTTTCAATAACTGCTTACAACCAGCAGCTAGCCTATTGTGTCTGCAGCAGGGGGAGCCACTGCCTGACAAAAACACGCTGATCTCTGCCTGACCAGTGGAGCAAAACAACAACACTTTATCTGGAAGTGTTTGTTTTTAATCTATTCTTTTTTTTTTTTCTTTACTAAACTCATGTTCTTAATCATGTAAAGAAACATAAAAGATGAAGCTATTCTCTAACAGCGGACAAACAGGGTTCTGCTTATGTTTGGCTGAAGAAATTAAAACCCCCTGATGTTTTTGTGGAGACCAGTTTAGGGAAAGTGGCTGAGGATTTTCCTCCAGGACTGTCATTACGCTTTTGCTGTGGACCCTAATTTGGAAGTGTGGTAGTATTGTAACCCAGCATTACAACTAGATGGAGATGGTGGATTTGGGTTATGCTCAAGAGGCAGATTGAATTTTGAACATATTTTGATAACTCTTTGACCCACTTTAAGGTTCAGGGTTGACTTGCAGCATATCATTGACTTTGGAGAGATTGCCAAGTTTTCTTTGGGACTCTTGCCCCACTCTTGCGGTAAGGTCGACTTAATTTATTCTGATGAGGGTTTGTTTTTTTTCCCCTCATTTTTGCTGCTGCATGCTCAAATTTCAGATATGTGCAGTGGTTTTTATAATGCTGGATCATAGGGATATTATTTATAGGGCCGTTAATTAAGAAGCCTAGCAAGAGAGTGAGACAGAGAGCCAAACTCCTTTTTGTGAAACTGTGCCAGAACTGAATCAGATAACCACAGTCAACTGTGGTTACATCAGTGAGTTGAACAGAGCCATTTGTTTGAATTAGCGCTGAGCCACAAATGATGGCAACACGTTTGTTCACTCCCTAACCTATTATACTGGGGTTTCTATTGATCTATTCACAAGACAAATAGGTTTTCTATAAAAATGTATGTTAATTAGGAGAGGTTTGTGATATAGACAATAAGGTTCCCCTCCCTGGGCGACACAGTAAGTGGGGGGCGCTATCAGCCACTCATCAGTTTGGCCCCAAATAATGACCTCTGTTGGTTAAGAGTAGAGTTGGGTGGTAACTAGTTACATTTACTCAGTTGCATATACTTGAGTAAAATTTTTAAGCTTGTTTTTTAACAAATATGCACCATTAAGAGACTCATTGTTTTCTTTTGTGGACTCAAGGCTCATTGGTTAAGTGTTTTTTTCCATCTGCTGAGTCTTTCGAGTTATTTCGAGGATGACTTAAAATACAGTAAACAGTTTACTTTAGTGTTAGCTATTCTTATATATTGTTACTACAGATTTTTGTGGGTTTAATGTGTTGTTGTGATCCTTCTTAGTAAGTAGATCACTTACCTGGTATCTGAGAAGCATTTTCACTAATTAATCTTTGAAGGCAACTTCTTATCTTTATTTGAGTAAAAAATATTATGAAGTAGTCCTACTCTTACCTAACTACAACTCTACCCATCTCTGGTTATGAGCTGTTTATGCAGAACGGGCAACAAGTGCTTTGTGAGCATAAGAGCTTTATGGACTATTTGATCAACTTTAGCTCTAAATCTGAACTACCTGAAGTGTTTAAAGCTGAGAAGAGATTCTTAGAAAAACTGTTTCATTTTTATTTTTTATTTTATGTGTTTTCCATGCTGCTTTGGTGTTGGGCCAGCTTTAGATTAGATTTAGAACTTCTGAACAGTGAGCTTAAACTTGTTAAATTATGCTGCACTAATTAGAGGTTCTTTAAAGAAAAATGTGTTGTTAATAAAAAAAATGGTTTTAAAGATATTGATATAGAATACATATCTATATTTACCTCTTTAGATGATAAACAAGCAAGGGGAATGGATTTTTCCCCTGCTCCCCCTGGTCTGAGATAATCTCTATGGATCTAATAAAGATTTGTAAAAGAAACAAAACATTTATTTGATTTACACTCTTAAAAGTAAGATTCAAAAGAAAAAAAAATGCCCTAATTCATGGTTTTCTCCAATCTGTTCCAGGCTTCTCATATGTTAGTGCCCCCCGTATGGAGGAGGAGGAGGATGATGTGTTTGAGCCAGATCCCAACAGCTGGCACACACCATTCAGGGAGATAAAGTTTGAAGACCGGGGCACACAAACGCCCGGTCCTGGCGTTGCACCACATAACGTTATGCTGCCCTGTGGAGTTGTGGAGGAGCCCAGACCACTTTTCTACCGTAAGCTATTGACATGCTGTATTTCAATAGAAAAAAGGGGAACAACGCTTCGAGTGTGAAAACCAGTGTTATAAAACTGAAGCACAAATTTGTCACGTGCATATTGCTGTTAGAAATGTGTGACTGCGTTGCTGCACTGATCTTACCTCTTGGTGCCTGATAGTCGTCATTAAACCAGCTTTTATGGTCTGTATACAGTCTACCCAGCTGCTTTGCTATTCAAAAGGCGCCAATATAACTGAAGAGATGTGGCAGAGATGTTCACCTGTGCTGTTCAGACTGCTGATTATCAGGGATAGCAAAGTTACACAGGCATCATATACATCAGTCATACCAAAGTAGCTCCATAACAACTGACTGACTCTTACATGGCTAATTGAGGAACTTATAAAACTATGTTGGTAATAAAACAACAGCTGGGAAAAACTTGTTCAGGCTAAGGGACACTGATCAGTGCTAAGCAGATCCTGGTTTCTATTTTTAAAAGAAGTCATGTATCATTGCTGCGTTCTGATTGTTTTAGCCACCATATAGCTATCTACTATACAGTAATAAGTATCGGCCTTGACACTCAACAGGTAACGCAGGTTTTCGATTGCACTTCCCAGCACATTTTGAGCTTGTCGGGGATTTTGACGTAAGGCGACAAGCGGAGCACAACAGGATGGAGCAGTTACCTTTGCAACAGCCGGCAGCACTCAGCTTGGAGGCCTGCATCGGGCAGAAACTTCAGATAATAGGCGACCAGTTTCACCGGGAACACTTACAACAGGTGAGGGGGTGAGGATGCACCTTAACTGTTGAGTCACTTAATTTTACTTTTATTTGATGTTCATACAGCAAATTCAACGCAACTAAGAATAAAAGAGCAGCTGAATGGATGAAAGGAAATCCAGGAATGCAGTTTATACAGCCAAGTAAAGAAGCTGCGTTCTTAAAGAAAGACAGTGACCTTATCCAAAAGTAGACTACCCCATGTTAACGCATTGTTCTATTTATCCATTACCAATTTTTTTTCATCATCAAACCTTTAAACATGCATGGAATTGTTGGTTTATGTGTTTTCTTGACTAGAATATTAGCTTTGATGTATTTATTGAAAAGGGAAAAAAAAGTTAATGATTAGTTTGCCAATCAGTTGATTTTTCAAACTCTCGCTGATTGACTGGTCCCTCTTGATAGGAACTATTTTGTGGTTAATTTTGTGTAGTTTTGCCCATCTCAGTTTAACTAAACCTCAGTGGCTGCTGCACATTTCACCCCCTCACTTTAGAGTGCTGCTGTAATTTAGCTGGCTTCAAAACCTGTTTTATGTAAGAAAAGGAGCAGTCCGAAGTGGCTATTCGATACTAACCATAGATTGATTTGTTGCCTCAATGGAGGAATATTCCTCTTCACTGTGTCCGGATTGGAGTGAGTTAAAATGAACTGTTTTAAAGTAGTTTTTTTTTTTATATTTATTCACAGTTTATTCACAATGTGATCATATCACTCAAATGTATAACATTTGAGGTATTGTTATTTGATCAGGCCTCTTATTCTGTCCTGTTTAATTAGTGTCAACTGACTCAAAAACAACATAAATGACAATGCACACAGTTTTTCCTTAAAGAAAAATACATTTTGATAAACTATGTTTTGAGGGAACGTCAAATATTTTCTATCACTAGTTATCAATATAAAATGGTTCAGTATATTATAACAGAAACTTTATTGGAGTGGACCTAGGCCTAAAATTCACACTTTAGTAACTATAACCTATACACTTTTTAATATTGGGCTCTAACCCAAAAGGCAAGCTGGGTTAAGAGTTTACTCTCGTTTATTGTGATTGCTCTGTGTTTGTTTTAGAGAGGCTGTGCTCAGACACAGCTTCAGCCCTGTGCCTCATTGCCTCCACTTCTTCTTCCCTCAACCCACAGATCCCAGGACAGCCCTTCCCCCACCTAGTTCACCAACACCAGGCCCTTACCCTGCCTCCTCTTCCTGTTTATTTCTCTCTCCTTTCCCCTGTGGTCCCGTTGTGCTGTGGAGGCAAGTGGCATTGAGAATCCCATACTTAAACAATACATCCTGTCCATGTAGTCGGTGTACCTCTTCTAATTGGGGTGGTGTTGTATCTTCAAAACATTTCAATATAGATCTACATATATATCCTGCTGAGTGCGAGATGTAAATGCTTAGTAATAAACATAAACACATTTTGGTTTGAGCATGAAAAAGCAGAAGTTGCAGAAGTAGGTAAACATGTTGTAACCCCAAGCTCAGCACCCAGAGGGGAACAGCTGTGGTTCCGGGGAGCCTCCAGTCACATCTGTACTCTGCAACCAGCAGCCACAGATAAAGGTTCAACACAGCGTGAATAAGGGGTTAAACTCATAATCATGAATAACAGTGTCTGGATCGAAAATTAGACCTAAAAATACATAAGTACCAGCCATCTTAATACGTAAGTACATCCCCCTTGGTCTTAGATACTCCAAAACCTTTCGTTTTTCACTTCACAATAAGAGAAAGAGTTTCCTATTTTTCTCATAGGCTTATCTAATGGAGGTTATTTATGCTACCACCACAAAGGATGACTCATGTGTCCTGGCGAACACACACAGAGAACCAGACAGCCAGACGGTCAATCTGCTGTAAAGTTTGGTTGTGGTCGGGATGTACTGACGCACAATGAAGGCTGGACCGTGTCAGGGGATGAGGAAATGGCTTTTTCCCGCTCGCTGTAGTAGCAAACAAATGAGAGAGGAAAAGAAAGCCAGAATGAGAATGGATCTTTTGAAGTCACACCCTGCATGCAGATATTGTGATAGTAATGAGTTGATATGAGAGTATTATTTTGTGAGCATCTACTCATTTCTAACTTCCAAAGATAATTTTCCAGCTTTTGCAATGGTAGTATACCTATCTGTCATTTACTATGATTTTGTGTTATTATGTTGTTAAGTAAGTGTGTTGCTGCTGAAACGCTCAAATGATGTCTTAGATGCGTGTGTCTGTTCAATGTCTGTCTTTGGCACTGCTCCGCACCTTGTTATAGTGGGTGTGTGTATGGGGGGGCTGTACTTGTATTGGCAGCTGAGTGAGAACATATTTATTGGATTTTACCAGTAAAGTGAGGACCTTTTTCTGGGCCTGGGGTTAGGTTTAACTTTTAAGATAAAGGTGTGAGTTAGGTTTAAGTTTCAGTAAGGGTTAGATGTGTAATAGCTAGGGTTAGTTCAGGTTAAGGTTCAGAGTTAGGCCATAGATAGGTACTAAAAAATGCAATGGCAGTCAGTGCTAGGTCCTCAGTAGGTATTTAAAACACGATTGTGTGTGTGCATGATATGCATGACTACACGCAGACTTGTTTTTCTGCTTATTGATGTCCCCCAGTAACTCCCGTTCTATATAAAAATCAGGACAAAAACTTTCATTGGATAGTGACATTGATTGGTGCTTAGCCACTTTTCGACAGAAGGAAACTGTTCAAGGAGACTTGCTAGTTTTCTGTATCTTTTTTTTTTAAACACTGCAGGGACAGAAAACAGCTCTTGTAGAGTTGTGGTACCTTATGATTTATCCTAAACTATTGATCACTTTTGTGGAAGAGGTTTCTTTCAGGCGACCCATTTTGTCAAAGCAACCATTTTCAATGTTTTTCCTCTGCATTTTTGTACTTCTATTGACTGCAAAAAAAATACTATCCAGCCATTTTTTTGTGTGTCTGGAAAACCCGCAGCTTATGTCACAATGAGCTGGCACTGTACCTCGACCTAGTTCCTCACATAGCAACACAAGGTCAGCCTGCTTCTTTATTAGAAGGATAGCACATTTGCTAAGCTGTTTTACAGCTGTTTGCACTCTACGATGGCTGCTAAAAGCAACAAATGTTTTGTTGTTGGGTAAAAATGTAGGGTCGTACCACTTTGCATTAGTATGCATCCATTTTTATGAATATAAAGTGATAGTGTGTAACTTTTAGGTGGTGGGTATGGCCAGCTAGAGCTCATTTGCATGAAAGTGACATCAGGGCGGCTGCGCGTCAGAGTTTTGCACGCACCAAGAAAATCTGACCTGAATCACTCATGAACTGACAAACGGAGGCAACTACCCTTAATAAAGGAAAGCCCATTTTACACATTGTGCAATTGTAAGGACATGTATTGGAAAGAAAAATAATATTTGTAACTTTGAAAGTTACACAATCTACCTTTAATGCCCAAGTGAGGCCCAACAACTTTAGGAAAAAAAATTATTTTTGTTTTGATGATTATTGCGATATACATTTTGATTGTGATTAACTTACATATTGTTTTACTCCTCTCTTTCCTATTTACCATCATGCTGACCCCACTACTCTTTTTCAGCTTTTATATATTGGGCATGAACATCTGTATCATCCATAGGCATGTATGCTATAAAAATAAATCCAGCAGGGCAATATGATTTTTGCCGTTCAGGAGTTTATCACAGGGCATTCTACACTCAAGGAGCCCATTGCTACCGCAATAGTGTGCATGTTAAAATGGCATGATTACAATTAGATATATTTCACGGTACTTCTGGTCCTTACAGTAGAAGCTTACTTAATTGAATACCAGGGGAAATTGAAAATGTATATTTGGTTTGCATAGTAGAAACAACTTTTGTCTAATTTCTGTCCTAATGCTCTGAATTACAGCCAACTTGTAAAGCATTTTTTTAGTGCAGATGCGAGTCTTTGAGCAATACAAGTGCTTTTGACTGCCATCGCATTGATGAGTTTTTTTAGCAGTGTGGCTGCAAGTATTCTCTATGGGAGCCCATCGCCTCCAGGTGAAATAAGGGATTAGGCAGCACTGGAGTGCTGGTGGATGCTGACAGATAAATTGCTCCTCAGTCACAGAGGGCCTGAAGGGACCCTGAGGTCCCCTAAGGATGGCGGACATTAGCCAGACCAGCCATTTGAGACACGGCAGTAATGACAGTCACAATGGCAGGAAGACGGCTCCAGCCTGCACAGGGCAAGGAGCAGAGTCGGGTTTCATCCCCATATTTTTTTAAGAGAGACAACTCGCAATGCTTTGGATCGAAGGTGTTGAAAGCAGGGTTGAATATCATTTCTGACAGTTCTTGTAGCTGTGTGTGGTGACTGTGTGTGCATGTTTGTGCTGTTTTGGGCTTTATCCAGCACTCTCTCAGTTTAGCACCTAATGAAAAGAAGGAAGGGGAATTGGTTGACATAAAAGCAAGTTCTTCTATCCTTAACTTTTGATATGTTTAGGTTTCTCTGTTTAAAAATATTGTTTGTATTTTACTTTGGACTCTCTCCTTGCTAATATGACTAATCCAGCGTTTCGTGCTGCAGAGGCTGGTTTGCTTACTCGAGCGATAATGCAGTGCTTCTGAGCAGCTGGCTTGATGGACAGCCTGGAAACTGATAAAGCACATCAGGGTAGTGTCAGAGTGACGACACCAGGACTCTGGCTAGACTCTTGTGCTCTATCAACCAGCTAAATTTAGAGACAGACGCCTGTTAACAGTTGGCAGCGTGACACTGAGTATGCTGTGACAACACCTCTTTTGTCACTCTTACTCTTTCTCGCTGCTTATTTATGTGAATGCTTCTTGACTCAATAGTAGAATATTTGTTTTCTGTAGGGAAAGAGCAAATGCTTCTTGTGTAGTTTGGAGGAAATCATGGTAAATTCCTCACCACACATATCGCTGTTGCTGTCTTTGGTAACAAACACTCAATGTTTGCCAATAAATAAATTGTACTTAAGTGTTACACCATACAATTTAGTTTCAATAAAAAAAAAACTTGGGGTTCTGCACATTGTTTACCAAGTTCTACCATGCCCCAAGCTTCAGTTGAGATCATCTACTATGTGTAACATGTTTTCCCTTATCGAAATATCCCCTGGCAAGATTTAGGTACAATATGTAGCACATATCTTGCTAGTGCCTTTGTAATATTTTGTAGCCTTTTCTTGTTTCCTTTGGAGCAAATAAGAATAGAGGAGTGGTAAAGCTAGATTAGCTCATGCTAGCTAGAACATGGCAAAGCTTATGCAACACCATGCAATGTTCACTACAGGCTGATAAGCGAATGCAAGCCCTGGAGTCTTATCACAGTAGCAGCTCTTGGCTTTTAACTGGGTCAAGGTCTGGACATCTTGTTGAGACATGCACAGTCCCTTTCAAAAGTTTATACAGATACTTGCTCACATTCTATTTTTTACAAATCCAAACTCAAGTGTTTTTATTTCGATCTAGTGAGAAAGACAATCAAAGCACACTGGATAATTGTAAAGTGGTTTAATGTTTTCAAGGAAAATGTTTGTTCTGATACCCCCAAATAACATCCAGTTCAACCAGCTGCCTTCAGAAGCCTCCTAATTGGTTAATAAATAATACCTGTGTGTAATTAATCTTGAAACAACAAAACTTTTTTTTTATTGCAAAAAAAAGAGGTTAAAGAACATTAGTGTACCAAAAGCTTTATGAAAGTTTTTGTACATTGCAGATATGTCAGGTATAAATTTATAAAAATAATTTAAAGCCGAATTTGGTTATAAAACAATAGTTCAATCTTTAAATGTCTTGCTGAGAATTTTTAAGTCCATTAGGGTAAATTAAAAAAAGTATAGCAAAACTGGAAACCAATCAACATGTGGTTCACAAACCTGAACTGCAGCTTAGGCAGCTTAGATGAGAGAGTCTATTTATACAACTGTTAGTCACACTCTCCAAAAAGGACAAAACTTGCAGAAAAACAAGTTTTCTCAAGCAGTCTTTTATGTGGTATGCCACAAGACATGCAGGGGAAACTGCACAAATATGCAAGAAATTGCTTTGGACAGATGAAAATTATGTTTAACACAATCAAAGTGCCAAGGCAGAAATGTAGGACACTAAGTGTAGGTCCTTCGAGCAGGACCCTAAACCTACAGCCTGGACTGGTTTCCATCAAATAATAGTAAGGTTTCACAAAACACAGTTAAAGGCATTTAGGACCATTTTGAGTTCTGCATCTGTTTTTGTAAAAGAAAAGGGAGAGGGGTAAAAGTCAGGTTTCCTCTTTTCATCTCCTGACTTCGCTTTAATTAGATAGCTTTTTAAGAAGCAAGTCAGATTTGGGTAGTCAGGTGTTGTAGCTGTGAGCAGCCTAGAGATTGAAGTGTTAGAAAGTGAGTTTTGTCATTTAAATCAGAACCCATTTGTAACTAGATCACTTAGCTAGGTTTGCCCATCACTATTTTGTACCGACCAGATGTAGGGTTTATGCAGTGTTGACAATGCAACCATGGGACGCCCCCTTCATTCCTCTCTTCCTGTCCAATCTAATTGAAAAAATCATCTTTCTCTATCTCTAGTTTAAGTCTTTATAGCTGAAGAACATTTAGGTCATACAGTTTGCCTACTATGGACTGAAAATAGGCACAGCATTATCAGGCGTAAAAGAGCCTGCACTTCATCAACAGGTGAGCTCATATACTACTGTAGACGTCTTGCAGAAGCATCTTTTTTTTCTTTTTTTTTTTTTTACCCCGAGAGACTTTCTGGCCCTCATTAGGAGCCTCTAATCCCATTTTGTGCAATTATCTAATCTCAGGTTCTCAATGGGTGAGATAGCATTATCCTCCCTAATCGTGCACAATCCAGTTGGCTTGCAGACCTAAGAGAGTCTTGTCTTTGGTTGCTGGCTGCTGGTCTGAAGCAGCAAGATTAGAAAGAAGTGTGATTGTATAATATATTTGCTTATCGCTTGGAATGTTAGGAATACTAGGAAGAATCAATTGGCTCACTTCACAGCCAATATAAACTAAACACAACAGTGAAGACAAAGTAATGAGTTTTTATTGTTCTTCATTAGGATTCTGAGTTGGTAGACTGCACTAACGACAAAATGCTTCATCTGTGTTTGCTTTTTCAGTATCATCAAAACCAAAGGAATCAGGGGCCGCTGTGGTGGCGCATGACTGCAGCTCTTCTCAGCCTCCTGTTTGATAGGGGGTTGATTGGTGGAGCAGGATGGAGGTGAGGGAGTTTCTCCACATATGTCTGCTGTCTTCATCTCTGTGGTGAAGAACTGGAAGCACCTGAAGGCACTGTCCAATCTAACACGGGTCTGTTTGAGAGAGGAAACAAAGGAGGGAAAAAAGTCACCGCGGGACGGTGACAACTAAGTTTTATACAAGGGCCTGTTTTTAATTTTCTCTAGAAGAAGATGCCATGTTGCTTCAGGATTCATCTTAAGGACAATGTTTATATTTTGGCCTTCATGCCATCTAGTCTTCTTGTACAGTACATTGATTTTGTTATTTTTTGCACTTCGGCATGTATCCTTCCTAAAAGACCTGACCTCCACAGACTTTGTTAATGCCTTAGTCAGTGTCTTCTACCAGAAGGAGAATTGAGGGTTTTTTGAAAAATAAGATGAGATGGTGCAACAGATTCTTTTTGACCAGTAAAGTTGATTTACTCATTTCCAAAGAGGCCACTTCTCAGAACAGAGTATTTTGCACCTCAATGGGACATTTATCTATTTATCTTTTCTTTGTTTTTTTCCCTCTTATTTTCTGTGCTTTGATATTAATTTTAACCCTACATATCTTGTAGAATTTCAGGAGTCAAGTTTCTGTACATAAACAGTTGGCACACTGTAAAATGTTATCAATGTTTAGTCGTGTGCTACATGTCAAACATTTGGGACTAATTGAACTTTATGAGGAAGGGAGTTGGCTGTGCTTAGCAACACTACCTGTTTAAACAAGTATGGTCATTCCAGCAGACCTGATAAACAAAAAGAAGACTTAAATATCAGATGTTATGCAGATGACGCTATTTTTTGTTTGAAGAACTGAAGAGTTAATGTAGCAGTAAAGCAGCTCGATAGTGGATAAATAACACTAGTATCAATCGGTTACAATTGCTGGAGTGTCAGACAAGCAATTTGACATGTAGCATTAGTTAACATGTTTTAGGATTTTGTTTTGCTATACTTGTTGCAACATTAAGTTCTTTGTTCTTCTACTTGCAAAGACATGTTTAATAGCTTTCTTTGCATGAAAACTACCCTTGTTTAGCCCCTCCTTCTAAAATGTTTTCTTTTATCTGAAACATTTATATCTTAAATGATTTTGCTCCCTATTGACCGGACTTCCAATAACATTAGAAAACAGTTTCTGTCAATGTAACTGACATTTTTTAACACTGATGACACCGACTAGACCATTGTTACCTGGGCAGATAGCAAAGTCACCCAAAAAAACTGCCACTTGGTATCATAAGTATTAAATAGATATTTGCCACCTGTCTGGTTTGTAAAATTTGTTGCTGTACGGACAACTAAGAGATGTCTGAGATGTAGCACACTGAATATATATATATATATATATATATATATATATATATATATATATGACAGAATTAATCGTATTAATCGATTATTATCAACTAATTCTGTAATCTATTAATCGTTAACTGAAATGTAGAGACTCTAAAATGTGTCTTTAGCTGGCAGAGAGACCCAGTTATACCAAAATTGTTGTAAAGAAAACATATAAGCATTCTGAATTTAAGACAAAGAAAACATTTTCATCTATCAATATGCTCTATCAGGAACGCCTCAAGTGGTAAAGTGCTATACGATTATTATTCTATTAATCGAATTGCAAAATAATCGTTAGTTGCAGCCCTTATATATATATATATATATATATATATATATATATATATATATATATATATATATATATATATATATATATATATATATATATATATATATATATATATATATATATATATATGGTCCTGCACCATGCACTAAATGAATTAAGCACACTGTCACAATGCAATTTGGCGTTTAATGTATAAGTTCACCAGAAATACCATTATTTTTTGTCCAGCCTTGTTCTTAGAATTTCCCCTTTATTTTTATGTGCTCTTTTTATGTGTTTTCAGACCTCCATGCCCTTTGAGTGGAGCTGTGGATCCACTGTTTTTGCACTAGATTTCCACCCTTGTAGGAGTTTAGATTGTTTCCTAGCTAACCTCTTTTTCATATGAAGGTTTTTCAGTCACGGCTTGTCTCCTTGCCACCACATTTCAGATGTGTTCACTCATACGGCCAAGACATATAATCAGTATTGAGACCTGACTGAGTAAAGACAGTCTGGATTTGACATCAGTTCTGAAAATTTCACTTACCAGTGTTTCAGGGTTTGGGTTAAGCAAAAGCAACTCTTTCACAGAAGACCAGCTCTGAATACAAAGTTTCTATGGCACAACCAGTCTGTGAAACCGAATCTCTTCCTCTCAGGATATCTTGTGTGGTTTCTCGACTTTTGATATTCTGTTGGGTGATCCTACTTTGGCTGTGGTACTCGGAGATTTGGAAGATGGGTACACACATAAGCACCACTGGCTCAGCAGACAAACTGTCTCTGAAAAGAAACAAAACTGAAAAGTTTGTAATTATTGTTGAAATATGAATACTTATAAAGACACTGTTAAAGATTTTTGTTTGGTAGGATTTTTATTTTCATGCTGAATCTTTTGGACCCGAGGAGCAGTACATATCAGGGGTCATTAATTACTTGCTCCTTACAATGTATCCAGTTTATCACTGCATAATTAGTGTCTCATTTTCTCTCTAAGATGTCTCAGGGACAGACTTTTTGGGCTACTGGTAACCTTGAGAATCTGTTACATGTTTTAGAGAAAAAGCAGTGTTTCCACCCATTTATTTATGTTGGAACCTTTTAAGGTGTTTTTAAGTCTTTTTGTTGTTGTTTTTATCGTTTCTTTTATATTTCTTACAGTCTATTTCTAGCACACACATATACAGGTACAGTTTGAGGAGACTGAGGCTAACTTGCTGTGGATGGTTGTGACAGGGGCTTCTGAGTTTGCAGTTATAGGCAAGCGAGGTGCACTGAGTGAGGTCATGGTAATAGTTTCCTGCGGATCCTGAACACTGAGCCAGTCCCTACAGCGCCTCGTCTCACCGTTGGCCCTTGACATCCTCCTCATGCTTCTCCTGCATGTTATGCTTTTCATTCAGTGCTTCATTTAATTTGTAATTTATTTTTTTTGCTTTTTATTTATTTTTGGTATGTTTTACCAATTTCTACTGTATACGCTTGTGTGTGCAATCATTTCTTCCTCTTTCTGTTTTCGATTTTAGACTTGTAAATGTCTCAGCTTATGAGAAATTGTGCCTGACCTTCCAGTTTTTTAGATAGTGTTGTTTATTCTTCATTGCCTGTAAAAACTGGGAATTTAAGTTTGTTACACAGCAGGATGCACATTCTTATTGCTTTTCACTGTCAGACAGGAGTTAATTGTCGTATACTATATGTTGTTGCTGAAATTAACTATGAAGCGAGAAACTACATACCATAATTTAAGCAAGTATGAATGTGTCACTCAAAACATGAATCTGATTGTGTGGGGGGGTGAACCTCAAAATTTTCCGATTTAAAAATTCATGTTTTTTGGAGTCCAACAATGCAGGTCCTGTAACGCAGTGCAATCCATCTATTAAAAGAAAATGGTCAACAGAAACTGCCCATCGCAAATAATACCCTGGAAATTGGAGAAAGTATAAAAACATTAATGTTTCCTATTTACACAAATAACAGAAGGTATGTCTACTTAATCCCGTTCATTGTGTTGTAATCAGTATGCACTGGAAAGTACTTTGTTTTTCCCTGTAGTGTTTTAATGTATAGTATAAACTGGATTGTTTTTCATGGGCTAATCTGACCGTGTGTCAGCTCTATCTTTGTGCATTATGAAGGTTCAGGTTTAACAGTTTGTTGATTTATTGAAAGGGAAACAAGCCACCATGATGTCCTTATGTTTTTTTTAAGGGGATGTTTCCCAAACTGTGCTCACCATTTTTTGTGAGGTCCATATTGACAGGTACCTTTCAGAAACCAACAGTGTCTTGAATTTTGTTTTTCAGCTTTATATAAAATTGAACTTGCTTTTTTGCAGAAGAAGACATTTTTTGACTTTTTTTACTATAACATTTATACTTTGGGATCTTTCTTAACTTTTAAAAATGTATTTTCTTAAGAAAAATTGTCTTTTTTTGAGGTAGACAGTTGTTTCTTGTAACAGTAATTTTTAATACAATCAGCATCATTATAGAGTCTGAGATCAAAATAATTTTTTCATGAAATTAAAGGTATAGTGGAGGATTATCGCAAATAAAAAATAAAAAAATGCACATGCACAACCCTGTACCCGCTCCCGAAGGAAAAACACCTATTTAACATGTGCAAGAGCATGCACAAGCCAATTTCTCCTTGAGCATGCTCTGTTTAAAAGTTGCTCTTTGCATCACTCATACAAGCTTTTTTTTCCAAAAGAAGACTTGCGATTTTTCTACTATGTCAGACTCACAACCAGTAAGTAAAAATATGGATGAGCTCGTAGGACGGCCTCATGTAAACATATCACCAGAATGATTTACAATTAGGAGGACCACTTATTTTGAGGATCCACCCAGAAAAAGAACATCCTCCACTATATCTTTAACTCTGAACATTCCTTGCACATCTTACTGTCATTTAGTGAACTTGGGCCAAACATTACAAGGGTTGATTGACTTGACTCCTGAACCTGTTGCTATAAAATGTTTGCCTGTCTTTACAGGACGTATAGCTGACCATGTAGTTCTAAAATGAAAAACCCCTGAATATGCCTTTAACTGCTCAGTTTCAATGAAGTCTTGATTATCACACACTCTCTGTATACCAAGAAATGAGACCCAGCGAAAATGTAGCATTTTTGTAAACATTGACTGTGTGTTTTCGAGACTCTACTGTGCACTCTTTTTATTTTGTGTTTTATATATATATTTCTCTGGTTGTTAATATTCATATGGAAGTAAAGACAATTTGTTATGTAGTGCAATATGCTGTATATACAGAGTTTGCTCTACAAAATGTTTTTTTTCTGGATATTTCGTTGTTTATTGGTACTTTTTTCAATAAAATCTTATGGAAGTTATGAAACTGTGTCATGTTCATGTTATAATATTGCCCTACAAAGTTATTTACATCACCTAAGATTTTTTTTTATCTCTCATATTGCAAAAGCACATTTCACACTATTTTTATTTGGGGATGAGATGATATACCAAAGTAAAATAAAATAAGTACATAATAGTGAAGTGAGCCAATGATTTCAGTTAGTTTAAAAGAATATTAAATATCAGGTACCTATAAGGGGACAATCTTCCCCTTCATATTTTTGTTAATTAGTTGAGACTTGTCATATTTGACCCAGACTAGCTTTTGCTTTTCAAACTGAAAGTATATGCTACATCATTTCACCGTAATCTATTCATGAACTAGTCATGAAAAGCTTCTTCCCCACCGTCATCAGCCAGCTGAACTGTTGAGAAAACTCTAAATCTTTGCACCATACATATTTAATGCACTGAACTTCCATCATAATGCATTTTTTTCTCCCACACTGTTTACACTTGATCACTGCTGCACTTTAAGAAATGGAAAATGGAAACAACATTTAGTTTTTGTGACAAACCATTACCAATTAGGAGACTTCTTGAAGTTTCCTAACTTGATTGTTTTTGGGAAAATCAAGGTAAATTGAGATTGAATCCATATACACAATACACTATAGCTTTTTAAACAGAAGTATGAATATTCCTACAAAATTGTGTGCACACATAAAATCCTAATAAAATAGTTACATTGCAGTTTTTGAAAAAACTTTAAAAGGTGTCAATAGATATGTTGACTGGGCCATGGCATGCATCACAGTTAGTCTCACTAGTTGAAAAAGTTTCCTTCAGCAAAATATACTTTCTTTTTTACTTCAATACCAATTTGTCTTAGTCCAATTTGTCCGCACAGAAAAAAAATGTTGCAGTACAAACAGGTCCCCCTTTCTCT